TTGATTCTTCCAGGTGGTGTTTACAACGGCCCACCTTAACGTAGCATGGAGGTTAAAGACCTCTGTTTATAGACCCTCGATCACCCTGGAAGGAAAGGAAAAGGGGCTTTTTTAACATCACCTCCTCTGTCCCCATTTACGAAACTGGAACGCTGAAGTCAAGTAGCAAGTTGTATATCCTGAGTACCAGCAGTCCAGTGGTGAAGTACTGCACCATGTTTACCATAACAGATGGAGGGGCTCTAAAAGCAGCAGCAGCAGCTACATGATTAATGTATTCTGCTAATCAACAGTCTGCTGGTTTCTTCACGGGACACTTGTTCCCTAGTAGTACTTATATGCAAAGTATTATTTTTGTCCATTAAAAACAAGTGCTCTTAAAAGTTGAAGCAATTACAATTTCCAAAGGTTGTGTCTATCACCATTTCAACTACATTTGCAAGCACATACTAGGGTACTGAAGGAAAAAAGTCTAATGAATTTAGTTTCTCTTCAGAGGCAGCTCTTTTAAGAGTAACACAAAAATCCCTGCTTTTTTACTGTTATTTCTTAGAAATATCCTTGTTGTTTTTCTTTTTGCAGCCTACTAATGTTCGTGCTGCACATAATTACGGTGACTTGGATCCATTTAAATTTCGTTGGCTGATTCCTTTATCTGCTCTTCAAGTTCGACTGGGGAACACAGCAGGTAATTCCCTTCCACTGAATACTTTAGGACTGAAGGCTTTTCTGGGATTTGGTAATACTGCTTCTTCCCTATGTCTTTCTGGAGCCTCCGGAAACAGGCAGGTGTAGACAAAACAGTATCTACTGCTGTCTCTGTACCCTGGGGGTACAGGCGCGATGCATTAACAGACTTTCTTTGGTACGTTGGCTTCTTCTGTGAGTTCAGGAAGGTGCAACATGATGTGAAGGAATGACAGAATGGAAATCCCCGATGAAAAGACACCATGAACAGGAAGGTGATTTACCATGGTTGACGTCCTGGTGACGCCCTTATGCTGTGTGGGTGCTCACCCTTGTGTTTTTCCAAATGTAGGAAAGTTGACTGTATAATTTGTGGTAGTAGGCTGTGTTCTTATTTTCCCTTTGAGTTTATTTTCATGATCCTATCCAGTTCTATATCTTCTGTAAAGCGTTGCTGGGTGTTTAGTGTCTTGCACACTTGAGAGAAGACCTTCTAGGGCTGGAAGACAGTGAGAAGCATTAAGAATGGGGGAAAGCAACTCTCCAAGAGAGAAGGTCAAGTTAGCAAAAGCAGCACTGGCTGGGCTGTGCAACAGGAGAGTTCAGGGGACTTTGGGTTCCACCTCGGGTGAGATCTTCTGTGGATCCACCTATGCCTATGTTAACACTGCCTTCAGAAGAGGAGCTCTACACTGTTTTTTCTAATGCCAAAAGTTTTGTGAAGTATATATAAAAACAATGTTTCCTTCCATGCACAGGTACAGAGAACAGCTGTGTCTGGGAACTGATTCACACTAAGTCAGAACTAGAAGGCAGGCCAGAAACAATTTTTCAATTGTGCAGCAGGTAAGATGCACATGGAGGTTCTATTTGACGAATCACATTAATAGAATTTAAAAAATCAAATATTTTTCCCCACGTGACCTTTGCATCAGCACTTCTAATGCGGCTCTCTCTCTTTGAATCCAGGCAGTACGCCAGTGTTTAACTGCAGTACGTATAATAATTTGAAATGGGAGGGAATTTGGCGCAGTGATCCAATGTCAGCAATCTGCACAGACGTGTGATCATAAATTCCGGTTCAATATGGGCAAAGTAACTGATTTTATCAGACTCTCAGTTGGTTAGCAGAAATCACCTTCTGATAAAGACCACTTAAGGGGTGATCCCTCGATACAGAAATTACCTTGCAGGCTGTTTTTGTAAGGGAAAGTAACCAAGATCGCAAACCACGTGTGCAAAAAGGCTAACACAAAGATGTTAGCTGCAGAACCTACTACTAAAGCAAACTACTGAAAAAAACACTGCACATCAGCAGAAAGGAGGCGGGTAGATTTTATCCTTATAGCATCTTACTTCAGAGGGGAAAATTAGGTTATCTGTTTTCAACTTGCAGTGACTGTGAGAACAAGACTAACATTGTGAAGGTGATCCGCTCTATTTTGCGGGAGAATTTCAGACGTCACATAAAATGTGAGCTACCACTGGAGAAAACATGTAAAGATCGCCTTGTCCCACTCAAGAACCGTGTACCTGCAACAGCCAAACTGGGTAAGAAACACATTCTCTAAGTTGAAAAATAGAGTGTGGACTCCAGAGCTGGCAGAAGAATTATTATGACGACGTAGTGTGTCATGTGCCAGACCCACAAATCCCATTTGTTTTTCTGGCTGGAGAGGTGGTAGAGTTTCTCCATAACTCAGTGCGTGACAAGGGCTAGACCAGATAAGCACGCTTGCCCTCCCCTCCACTGTGATAGGTCATTAGCTCTCTTAAGGGGGAAGATTTAATAAGGCCCAAATTAATTTTGCTGGGAAGCAATGGACTCCCTTTGGCATGCAGTATTAGTGTTCTTTCCTCTGCGTTCCCTTCAGTAACTCAGCCCTAATAATATTTAAAACTGAAACAACTGGCAAAAGGCAGGGGTCTTGCTTCTTCCAGTGCACCAAATCTGCATCCCAGCAGATACCCTAATTAAGTACAGGCTTCAGACATTTTAGTTAAATGAGTAGCTACTAGTATTTCAAGTTCTCCATCGGTTTAGTTGTCTGTAAAATCCCCTTAACATCACAAGAACTGGGACAGTTCAACTCCTACCTACAACGTGGCCCTCCAGTGCTTGAGGTGCCTGAATCTATCTTGCTTTCCTGCAGATGTGTGTAAAACATTACTAGTGTCTCTGGAGGATTTTGTACGTATTTCACATCAAGGCAAGCATATAGCCCTGGGATAGGTGGAATGAAAACTCTGACACAGGATCGCACTGTCGGTATCAGAATGCTGACACATCTGACCCAGGATGATTATCAAATGTGACTATGTACACTGTAATTATAAGTGGGATATTGAGACAGATAGTATAACAGCCGCTCTTTTGCTGAAAAAATAAAACTGCCTTTTTCCACTGCACAGCTTCCACGAGGTCCTTGAGGGTACTGAAGAATTCATCCAGTACCGAGTGGAACGGTGACCCGGGGAAAGGCACCTTCCAGGACTCAGATGAGTGCAGCCTGAGCAGCAGCACTCAGAGCAGCAGCTGCCACACCGCCGAGAGCATACAGGAGCCCAAAAATTCGTCTCCCGATAAACAAATACAGAGCTGCGCATCTGACTTCTCTAATGTTCTTGTCAAAGAATCTGATATTCTCAGTGATGACGACGACGATGATGACTATCAGAGCCTAAAGAAGGACAGCCCTACAAAAGACATTGAAATACAGTTCCAACGGCTGAAGATTTCAGAGGAACCAAGTGCTGACGCTGAACAGGATCAGGCTGCTGAAAATGAAGAAGGAGATGGCTTGGAGACAGGACAGCATCCAAAACTGGTGCGTGGCCATTTCTGCCCAGTGAAGAGAAAAGTAAACAGCACAAAGCGTAACAGAGGAACTTTAATGGCAATGCAAGAACGTCACCAGTCCCTTGACAGTCACTCTGATGCTGCACAACTGGATCTGAACTCTATTTTAGAGAGAGAATTTAGCGTCCAGAGTTTAACATCTGTAGTTAATGAGGACTGTTTTTATGAAGCTGTGGAGAAGCATGGGAAATCGTAGCTTTCTAAGCACTATATTTAAAGTATTCATTTGAAGTCCACATAAAATTCAACAAACTTATTTTGCTTTAAAACTAGTAAATTCATGGAAGCTGCAGGAAAACTATCTGATTTTGTGCACTAATAACATTTTTTCCACAAAAACAGCTGTAAAGGATTCTTAAGTTATTTTAATTTATTGTGGATCAAAAATAGATTAAGTTGGCCAAGGTCTGTAAATTAGTTCATCCCTTTCAAGCAGTTACTAAGATGATGTAGTGTTCTGGGGCAGGGGAAGGGAAGGATGCTCTCTTTAGTATTTTAAGTAATGTGGAAAAGGTGCTACAGAGTGGCAGAGGGGATTACGATGGAAAGGAGCATTGCAAAATGAATTTTTCAATACCTTGGGCATTTTATTTCTTTGGTTTTCATTTTTGCTTTATTTAAAGCAGAATTAACTTATTTTAATGTGTTTTAGTGCACAATAGTGCAGAAATTTCATTTTTGTATGTTTCAAGATGCTGTTTATACTTTATACATATGTGTAAATACAAAAACAAAGCTTGGCCTGTAATCTTTTATTTGACTGTATTTTTTATTTTCTCTACCAGCCTGTACAGTAAAAGACAAATAAGTATTGTACGTAGCCATGTTTTCTACTTTTTATCATTCTGCCTTTCTCTAGTTGGAGCTTTAAATCCCAAATTCTTTGCTTTTGTATAAATGAGAAGAGTATTAGCAGACCTTAAAGCCATCTGCACACTTTATCCTCCTTTAAGCCAGTCACTTGAGTATATTTATACAAGAGTTTTGGCTTTTTTTTAAATTACTCTGTGCAGTAAGATGTTCCAGGATAAAAAGAGCACAAAAACCCAAACGCCGTCTTACATGCTGAAGTATGAAAAGTACTTTTTCTTACATTTCAAGAACGCACTTTCATTCATATAAAACTCAACTATTTCAGAGGTATCCCGACCTAATTACATGTCTCACAACATACCTTGTTCTTAGTATGTGTTCTAGCTATTCCCCTGAAGTAAAAAGAACCTGTAGGCACCTTGTAACTGGACTGTTCTTTCACTTTTATCTACAGCTGAATAGAGTGAATAAAAAAAATGGGAAAGCCCTCTCTCTCCACCACTTTCTCAAAAGTATTTCTTCTACACCTGCACAGATGTAGGACTATATAAGCCTCCTTTTACTTAATCAACACCTCTAGACCAAGTAGTTGAAAAAAAAAAAATCAAAAAAAAAATCAGTCTGCTGCTGATTACAGCTGTTACAGCTGGTCTTCCTCTTCAATCTGTTGGGGCTGACTAGTACTTTTACATAAACTCTTCCTCATCTTCTTTTGCCTTAGTTCTTCTCTGTAATTGTACACAAAAAGGCTTGGGTCTTCATCGCACATTTTCCTGTATGTATTGCACAGATTTCTAAAGTGTGACATGGAGAGCTGAAAAGGACGCAGAGTTGGATCAACATTTGCTGTCATCATCAGCTGCTCTGTTCTTTTCAAACGTCCGTTTTCAGGAAACAAAGTCCTAAAAGGTGTGGGGAAGAGACAAATTCAAACAATTCAGTTTCCCTTAAGAATAGCAGGGTCGTCTTGGGAATTTACTTGATAGAGGTTTGCTATTAAGTATGTCATTATTTTAGCTCTGGCACTCTTAATATAGCTCATTATCTAGGCAAATGGAAACACGTAAGGGCCCTTTTTCTGCGAATGCAAACTGTAACAACATAGGAAAGCATATACATACATTGTACATTAAACACATACATGTATGTTCATATTTGCTAACATTAAAAAGAGCTTTGCATTTGGATACAGTCACAGAGCCTTCTTAGAATTAGCCTCGTATTTAGAGAGCAACAACAGATTAAACTGTGCAAAACAGATCAGATCCAAACCATATGACTTTCTTTCAGGCTAAGCGTGTTTCATTCCAATGGGAAAGATATTGTTATCGCTTATCATTAATACTGTAATTCCAATGCCAGAAAAAAAAGCCAAGAAGGAGGTAAGGAATATTTAATTATCATTCACTTTTTAATATTTATAACTTGGAGAATGTGCCAGGAGGCCTAGATTTTGTTTTCAGCTCTGTCACTGTTCATAGGTAGTCATATCAGTTCACTTACTCTGTGGCCAGATGCATTAGCACCTCTAGATCTCAAGTTCCCCAAATTTTAAAGCATAGTATTAGTTCAAATGATTTCTATGTCTCACAAAAATGCACGCTACAAAGCGCAAACTATTGAAAGTACTAGCTGACTAGCTCTTAGTCGCAGTAGTTCTCAGCCTACAAGAGGTCACAAAGGCAGAAAATTTGCACATGGTTCATGTGCATGTCTGAATTTTCAAATTATCTGCCTTTGTCATATATACATAAAACCTAAAAATGCTGTGCATCTAATACAGTAACACCCTCCCAAGCCTCGAGATGTTGGCTGGACAAGCTCGTCAGAAGGCTTTCTATAATAAGTGATAGTTGGCTCTTGGTGGGCAGGCAGAATACAAAGTTAAGAAAGGGTTTAAAATGACAAGAGAAGGATGGAACTTCTAGGAACAACCTGGTTTAATGTACATTCCACTCAAGGCTTTGGTCAAAAATGTCCCCATTAGTTCAGCATCTATCTCAGCAAGGTTAAAATGGATCTTTATTTTGATATCCCTCCCTAAGTTATTCTTGCCTTTGATTTGGTAGGTAAAAGATGTATCTGGAGCCAAAAATGTTTAATCACCTTTTATATATAGACTAAGAACTACCCTATAAATGTCTATGAGCAGCAACTCAAAATATTTTTCTTCATGGACTTAATAGTTCAATCTTCTATGCCATGTGTCTCTCTCAGATCACAGGATTTACACACAAATGTAAACTGATTCTATTACCTTGTTTTTATACTGTAAATGCAATAGACAGATAACTTGTAACAAACTTAATAATCTTATTATATAACAAAAACTGCTATTTTTTTTCAGGTCAGTTAAAGAATAAGAGGATTGTGTTTCTTAGCTGCACACTAGGGCTAAAGTATGATAAGCTGCTAGGGGGATACGTGACGTTCAAAAGTTCAGATTCCCCCTCCTTGCCTCAAAAGAATGTAGAGCAGTTATTAGCAATTTGAGATTACACAGTAGTCTCAGTTTTTAAAACTGGCAAAAATATTCCACATAACGTAGATATGTTGATTGCGCATACCTTGTGCTTATATTGTCAACTGAAACTGTTCTCTCACAAAAATACAACCCTGTGAATCAAATACAAACCTATCTAGAGTTTGGATACCTCATTTTCTAACCCCCTCCAAATGTATACTCAAACCTTAACACAGGCAGAATTTTAGGTCAAATGTCTGCTCTCCAGACGTCAGTGCCATTCACTTAAGCAAAAAAAACCCCAAAAACAAACCCAAAACTTGAGGCAAAATTCTATGGTCACCTTTAAAAAAGCGACACGTAGGGCTTGTAGTTCAGCAAGGTGGCATCCACCCTAATTCTGGACTGCGTCGGGACCAAAGCCATGCCCAGCAAAATTCAGCTGCAGCAGCACACCTCTAGTCCTAACAGCAGCTCCGTCACACGTTCTACAATGCTGAATGCTGGGTCTTCCCCACACCAAGTCAGACACGCGGCTATGCTAGCGTTTTAACAGCATCCTTGGCAAACAGACTGCAGGTTTCTCTCATCAGGTAGAGAACCCAATAAATTCCCTCAGTAAGACAAGGGGATTTTTAAAAAGTCAGTAAGAACTCCATAGAAGGGCAAGCACAGAAACAAGAATTTGACCTTTTGACACTATCCCCAAATAAGTAAAGTTTCCCACAGCTGATGTTCTCCCCCCTCTCGCTGCCATCTTTGGTTCTGTATTTTGAGACTTTCATTTTTTAACTCAACCAACAAATGCTGCAGTTTTTGCGGTTAGTGTTGGGGTTTTTTTTTTGTTTCCGAAACAAACTATTGGAAAGATCACCAAGTTATCCTAGTAATTTTAATAGCTTCAACTGCTCTAACAAAAATGCACAGTAATAATTATGTAATTACAGCAGAAAGAGATTCATCTCATAGTTTTGTCTCCAGAAACCATTCTGAAATGGAAAGATCTGATGAACTATGATGACAAATTTAAAAAGGGAGTAATAAAATCAAATGCATAGCTACAAGTCTTTCTCAACTGATTTCGTAGCTGGCACATTTACAAAACCAGTATCTGACGATTTTTCATTAAAGATCCTTACTCGAGTCCACGGAAGCAGTATTTTCTTCTGAACTGAAAAACACTTTGAACCACTTTTTCTACTAGCTCGAATGGCTGCTGTATCTTTGGTTGCACCAGTGGAGTGAAATGCACCACAGCCACATCCACCTATAAGGAAAAGACAGATAAATTTGAGTAGATATACTCTTCCGAGACATTATTTCTAACTTAACCGGTTAGACATCAGGAAACAGGCAGAACATAGGAAGACATTATTGTGACAGGTAATATAGCTGTGCAGTTAATAATGTCATAGTATTTGAATGTAAAGATTTGGCTTAACTTTCAAGGCCCTACAGAATTTTAGTCTGTCTTAGTTATCTACATATTTCCAATTAGTTCACATGCTATTACTACTTAGTACTTATTTCCCCATGGCACTTCCTCCATCTAGAGCAACTTCCATGTAATCTGTAAAGTAATTAGCACTTCGTTCTTCAGATCCTTCCACAAGACAATTCTAACATGATACACAAATTAGCCAATATTCAATATATAGGCTGAAGGGCAGCCAAAGAAAATTGGTATTATAATTAGAAATCAAACCCATTCCCTGTATGTTTTCTGTTGCTAGGGCTTTTCTAAACTGTAAGCCAAGGAATTACTTTTCAACATATTAAGATTTTAAAATTCTAGCCTATTTAAAGGAATGGTAGGTAGAAACAAGTTTGCATTCAGTTTAAGTGACCATACAACTCTATTTACACTGTGTATCGTAGTTCATCCAAAATTATATTTTAATGCTTCTACACAGATTGCTTTCAAGCTTGTTTTATTCTTTTATAATTTTAAAATCATCTTGGTTCACAGAAGGGTCACTTTCCCTGTGTCTGAAAACAGAATGAAGCAACATCATTCCTTCAATGTACATATATACATAAAACCCACATAAAATATGTCATGCAATTATAGAGATACTGTATTATACAGAAACGCCCTGAATTCAGACTTATGTATTGCAAAATACAGGCTGGGCTAAAAATCCAGTTCTGCACAACATTGAACAAAGCAGCTCATCTTCCAAACCAGATATTAACAACAATAAAAATGAAACATTTCTGTGGAGAAACACATTGAAAATTTGTACAATTTGTACAAGTACTGGTACTGAATGACGACAAAATTTTTAAGTGCCAGACTTCTAGAAATATTCAGTCTCTTATTAAAAAAATCTGCTAATACGATGGACAATCATCCGTCTTTTTGAAAGGTCTGAAATTGGCATTCATGGAGGCTGAGGGGAGACCTCATCACTCTCTACAACTATTTAAAAGGACACTGTAGAGAGGTTGGTGCTGGTCTCTTCTCACAGGTAATTAATGACAGAACGAGAGGGAATGGCTTCAAGCTCCGACAGGAACATTAGGAAAGAATTTTTCACAGAAAGAGTGGTCGGGCATTGGAACAGGCTGCCCAGGGAGGTGGTTGAGTCACCATCCCTGGATGTGTTTAAGAGCCGTTTAGATGTGGTGTTGGGGGACATGGTGTAGGGGAGAACTTTGTAGAGTAGGGTAGATGGTTGGACTCGATGATCCCAAGGGTCTCTTCCAACCTAGACAATTCTATGATTCTGTGATTCTATGATTAAATTGAAGACACGCTAGTTCTGACTAAAATCAAAGCACACTAAGCCCAAAAAACAGCTTCAGTTCACACTCTCAGTGTACCAATTGTTTGAGAAAACCCTAAAAGAATGCCAAGCAAGAGGTTTTTTTTCTACTGCTCTAACCAAACCTGCTCCAATTTTGTGGGGTTTTTAAAATCAATTAAATCATAGTAATCTCTGATGTGGACATATTCTTCTGGCATAAAGGTGCCGTCCATACATGTTGTACTTTCAGTGGGAACAGCTCAGCTGTCAAGTACATCTATTCACTACAACTGCTTCAGCAGCAGAGGTACTGTATTTGCTTTTAACAGAAATTATGAAATTCAAACATAAGTTTTTCATGTGGACAGAACTTACAAAGCTGAACGAAAATACTGGCTAAAGAAAGGAAAGAAAATACTTATTAATGGTGCTGATGAAAAAAAACCACAGGAAATTTCCAGCATTAGCACTGCTGATCTCAAGTATACGTTACAGATAGTGTTTTTTCTCTACTTTTCCACCTTTTCTGAAAGTTGGAGTCAAGAATAAGACAGAAAAAAATACTTAAATTACTAAAAAGTGAATACACAAGAACTTATTTAAAAATGAGGTGACAAAGAAAACCTGACACATAGAATCTGCAGTGAAATGCGCATAAATGTATTTTCCAAAGCAGTTTCTGAATTTCTCGTGTGTTGCTAGCTTCTACCCTTGCCACAGGTTGCTGCTATCTGTCAGGAAGACCACAGGAACACAGTGAAAATTTGTGTACACATTGTCAGAAAAGTTTATCTTTTTGAACAAGGCAAATACATACTTCACATGACCAACCAGCTCCTTGCACAGAAATACTAAGGGCTTATTTACACACATGTATGTTTATCTACGTTTTCGTCAAGAAATAAAACAAGGTACTTTCCCAACAAAATTAGGGATAAGAAAACCACCAGAGACCATTTGGGATCTCACAGTCATCTCAGTTTTGCAGAACTGCTTGTAAAACTGAGATATGAGGGCTCTATGGGAGTAGGAGCTGCAGCTTGAACAAAAATTTCTGAAGGAAAAGAAAAAACACAATCTAGATGCAGCGTACAGTTTAAGAGAAAAACAGCTCAATTTGCAATCTCAAGGCCAGTGGGCAATAATTTCTGCTTCTGAAACAAAACACAACACTTCTCAGCATTTGTTCCATTATAGACGCTGTTTTCTTTGGACCCCAGGAAAGCTGCCTGGTTACTATAGCAACAGATACAGGGGAAAGCTTTTCACTTGTAATTGGCCACTCCTTTAAAATTATACATGCTATTTTTCCCTAACCTTTTTAATATGCACAAAATAGAGAGTAGAATTATGAAAGCCAATGCAAAGTATAAAACAGCACTTAAAATAAACAAGTTAATTTGTGGATAATTTTATTAGTAACACTTTCCCACCCCCAAGTACGTTCAAAATATTTACAAAATAATACTCAATTCTTACAAAGTAATGAATACAAAAATTATTCAACCGATACATCCTGAACTGTCAATAGTGCAGCAATTATTCACCCCTTGCTCTTTAAGTGTATCAGTACAATGAAGGTTTATGTTCTAGTAGGGTAGGAGGAACACATGACAGAGTACAATTTAATTCAGAGAAGTCTGCTGCCTTGCTGATGAAATCAACATTCTAAATCAGAATAAGCTTAAATGAGACAATTTTTACTAATTGTCAACAATAAAGGTCTCATGATTGATAGGCAACACATGTATCTTGCAACAGGGCTCTTATTGAAAGCAAACCCACATATTCTTTTTCAAGCTGTAATTTATAGGGAACTGAAACCTAAGCAGAACATATTACAACTTCATTAAAACAGACCGCTTGAGATCCTACTAAGATAGTTCTAAGCCAGCACTTTCACCAACTACGTGTTCAGTACCAGCGTTTTAGCTGTCTACTACAGACAAATCTTAGGTCTAACACCAGATATGTGTATCTTGCAGTGATCTTGTTCTGATGTGAGGATTTCATTTTGGATCACTTCCAGCTGAAAATAACTACGCCACTGCACTAACAGCAACAATCTAATTCCTGTAACTTAACCCCATTCACACCAGGCTCACCAACAGGATCCCAGGAAACTAGAAGTCAGGTATACAACCTACAGGTATATCGCTGTTGCAATCAGCAAGACTTTTCTGCTAACTTCTTGATTTCACACACCAACTTGTTGCGGCCACTTCACTGATGTGCTGCAGTTACCATATAAGCTTTATTCCTTCATTCTTTTGTACAGACTCATACAAAGGCAAGAAGTTATAGGTTGACCTACAGGAGGCTAAGGCTATCAAGAAGAGATAAGCAAAACTTGTAGTTGAATAGAAATGTCCTGCTGTTCCAATTACAAATTAAAATAAATTGCATAGTTCTTTCTTAGGAAATTTAAACTCTTAATAAGATTATCTGTGATGAAAAAAAAAACACAAAAAACAAACCAACAACCCCCACACAACAAAACCCTCTGGCTCTAGCTCTCAGTTCAACTTAAATGAATCCTACCCTTCCCCCTTCCTAAACCCGTCAGCCTACAGAGTTTCTGGATTCTCAAAACTTTACTCCTTTTAATCACTGTTCACAGTTTTAATCATAGAACCTGGATATCATTATGTATTTAGGACTAAGGGCCTCCATGTGTTTTTCTCCCTAATCTCTTTGCTTTCCCTTACTGAGTGTTTGTCAAAGAAAACTCTAATTAAACAAAGTACTCCTTTATTCTCGGGTAGATGGAACTAAGAGAGCGAACAAACAGCAGTAATGCACTTGCTGTAGAGAAGAGAAAAAAAAACAACAACATTCCAAGAAATTTTGTTAATACATGCCAATGCAGTTTTATATGAGAAGCAATAGTTCCATTCAAGAGGAACTGCATTTTTCCAGGACATCTACAGCGAAGAAAACATCTCAGACCTCACATCCAGCAGTAAGTGTTACACAAATAATAATGAAACATAACTGTATTTTTTATTACACTTGCAGTGCTTATACTTGAATTTACCATTCCTTTAATTTGGTTCATCTCATTAAATGTAATGTATGGCTACCATTTGCAGTGGTTTGTGTTTATGTGTGAATATGCTGAAATTTTAAAAAGAAAGCAATGAAAAAGGTTAACTTAAGATCCTAATTAGCTGTTCCAGAATATGCTTTTGAATGAGTTTTGAGCTATCCAGGCATGTCAGTTCCTTCCGCAAAAGGAAGTTAAGCCATCTTTCCCATGTGCCCAATACAGCAAATGATATGTACTTGCCAAAGCAACTCTTCATGATCTGAACAAACTGAAGAGATTAGGAAATAGGCAGCTCTTTGAAGTAAGATTTTAAAAATTACTAGCTATTAGCATTCTCACCATAACTATATGCATTTTTAATATATATATACTGGACAGAGTTAGCACATCCGTGAACAATTACCTGAGCCAAGTACAATATATAAAATTAGAGGATTACTTGTTATGTAATGCCAATAAAGTTTGATA